TTCTCAGCATTTCTCCCTGTTCCAGAGACCATTTCATTGCCTTGGTTTCCGCACTCGAGCCCCCGACGAAAGATTTACGTTACAGAGATCCCCGAAGAGCCCGACGACGCAACTATCCGCGATCGAAACTCTGCTCAACTCTAGCCCCTCTCTTCGGACTTAACGAGTGAGTTCATACCCCTACTTTTCAATTCTTTTACATGTTTTAGGGGGGAAATACAAGTACATTACACGTTAAAAGTATCGTTTTCTAAACATAAATGCAAATTTCTAACTTCGAATATCGATACAAACATCTTATGTATACAAAGAGCGATTATGTCATTAAAATTATTTCTGCTAAAAGGAACATACTATCTAAAAAACTATAATGGGTATAGTTAGCAAGTCAATCCTACGTTTTTATACATCTTGAAAAACGAAACACTTTCAAAAGAAGTAAAGTCATTTCATTGTAAATCTATTTATACTAGTCAATGTGAGATATTTAAACTTCAACGTACATTTTTGTATGCATTTCAAGTCCTGTATTATATACCATAATCTCTTGGAGGGAGAGCGTGATACTTGTGTATAGATCTATACGGGATTGACAATCCCGCACCTAAACTACTAGCTATAGTTAGACCGGCAGGTCTGGGGTGACAAATGTCATAACACTGCAACACTTGAAGAATGTTGTTACAGGCCGTCAGTGTCATTAGTATGGTTATAAAACTCACATAATAAGTATAAAACAAGATTGATTTACGAGATTCATATGTGCATCGCAGTTTTCCTACATTATATTTTCATTCAAAATTATTGTTATCATTTGTTTATAAAAGTTACTAACACGTTCCAACTTTGGAAACTTTTTCATTTTACAAGAAAATATTGGATTTTCTAAAAACCTCGTTTACCAATTTACTACCAAAAGGGATATACTTTTCAACTCGAAACACTCATGAACTCACCAACTTAATTGTTGACACTTTTCAAAACCACTTGTATTTCTCAGGGAATCAGTGATACAGGTAAACTACCAGCTTTTGGAAGAAGGAACACAAAGGATGTTTTTATCATTAAACATTTATCATCATATTGTAATATTCTTTTGATAACATGTATAACGCAACAATATACGTTTTCATTTTATATATATGATGGTTGTGTTACTTTCTTTACAATATTCAATCGTTGTGATACTACGTGAAGTCATCCACCCTCGAATGTTTCCGCCATTCTGGTTTGGGGGTGTGACAAAAAGTAATGGTGCGAACAAAAGTAACCTTCCACACAAGTTTTGGAAACCACAAGGTTCATGTGATATTTGAATTAATAAAATTAATTAGTATATTAATATAAATAGAAATTCATAAATAGAAGGTTATTTGTTACATTAATACATATTAATTAATATATTAATACAAATAATTAATATAAGGTGGTATTTAATATGTTAAATTTGAATTAAAAACAAAATAAAAAAAATCAATAACAAATGGAATAAAAATAATTCTAAAATTTTAAACAGTAACATATATCAAATTCAATGAGAAGTTATCATTTAGCAAAAATAAACTTTATTTATTAAGATAAACTAGGTGTAAAACTTATGTGTTCCACGAGTTCAATTAAAAGACAAATTAAATATGAAATTTTAAAAATTTAAAAGTTTGAATTATTAAAATTAATATTCTTCTCTTTTTTTAAATTTAAACAAATAATTTAAATAAATAAACAAAGGAAATTAATGAGGTTTTAATTTAAATTTTTTTAAATTAAAAAGAAAGTTAATTAATGGAATTGATATGTATTTATTATAATTATTACATTCAAATATCATTTAGAATTTGATAAAATGAAAAAAAAAAAATCACAAAATGCCATTTGGAAAAATTTAGTTGAAAATAACCACAAAATATCACGTGACCAAATCAAAGATAATGTAACATGTGATAAAAAGATTTTGATTTTGATTTTATAGCTTTTGTATTGTAATTTAATCCAAAATAAAGAGTAAATTACACGAATGTTTCCTATGGTTTGGGTAATTTGCATGTTTGGTCCCTATTTTTTTTAAACTTGGAACGTCCCTATTGCTTATTTTTTTTACGCGTTGAGTCCTTATAATATTTTAAATGACTTATATATGCTTTTCTTTTTTTTCTTTTTTTATTTGTTTTTCATTTAATTTCTTATTAATATTATATTAGAGAAAAAGTTTATTAAAAAATATTACCTCAAACCCACTTCTTAATCCGTTCATCCTTCATCTCTACATCTCTCACACCTTACTTCTTGCTGCCCTACCTAAGCTACTGTCAGGTCACCATCTCTAACCACTAACTTTTTTGGGAGCCTTCCTTCGCGAAGATACGCTGATCCTTTCGTTGTTTTGATTGTGATATTGTATCTCGTTTCAAAATAGAGCAAACGCTCGCTGAAAATCCATCCATCTAATGATTCGTTTTCCATATACTCATAAACGAGAAGTCGATGCTTTGATTCTGCACAAAATCATTTGAGTCTTACCAAATGGTGGTGATGGATGCTTCCCATTATGCACACTTCTGATTAGAATTCCTTTTTCCCTCTCCGAGCCCTCTAACCGCTTGACAAACGAGTTGTATCATTATCGTCTTAAAAGCTCCCAATCTGATCAAACACGTAAGAGTGTCAATTGTTGTTATTAAAGAACAAAGCCAAGCAAGTACAATAGTTCAAACACGACGATTTACAACCATCTAAATCAGTTTTAAGATCCGACGTAACAAATCCTAGCGCAAAATAGTTCAGATTCTCCCCTGTGTTGACAAAAATAGATAAATTTCTCAATTTGTTACATGAAGAATCGATTTGTGGTTTGCAGAAAATAAAAGACTTCCATTTTCGTCATAAATCCTCCATGAATTGCTTTCAATGGTGGCAGGAACATGATGTATTCTCGATTTGCAAAGAAAAACTCTAATTATTATTAAGATTTGTTGCATGTAAGATTCACATCTTTAATAAAATCTTGGTGTGACATAAAGATGCTTGTTAGATAATTGAAGTTTTCCAAAACACCACGACTTTGAGGTGTAGGACCCACAAATATTTTTTTTTATTAAACCTTTTACCAAATAAAAAGATAATATTAATACGAAAAATATTATCAATAATAGATAAACAAATAAATAAATAAATAAGAAAAAAAATGGTATATCAGTCATTTCAGATATGAAAGAAGTTAAACGCGCAATAAAAATAAATAATAACCACGGTTAAAAAAACATAAACCAAACACATAAATTATCATAGGATCATTTGTGGAATTTACTCGGAAATAAATAAATTAATAGAGAGGGATAAATTGATTCTTGTGACGTAAACTGTAAATTTGTCTAGGACTCACCGTAGACACTCCGTAGCGGATCATAATCTCTTTATTTCGTTAATCTAAGACAAAACTGCACAATTGGTCCCTGTGGTTTGCTCAAAATTGCCACTTTGGTCCAAAAACGTTTTGACTAGCACCACAGGTCCAAAGTTTTCATTTTGTTGCGAGTTTGGTCCAATTTGATTTAAAAATATTTAAAATGACGGATTTACCCTTGTTATTTTCTTTTTCTATTTTTTATTTATTTAAATGTTTTTTCTTATTAAAAGAAAAATAAAAAAGAATCTCTTTCTCTATCTCTCTCTCTCTCTTTCTCTCTCTCTCTCTCTCTCTTGTTTTTCTTTCACGCGTCGAGAAACCCAAAACAAAGACCGGAGGCTGCTGCTTCCGATCAAGCTAACGAGCCTCTCCCTCGTGTGTCGACTAGCGAACCCAAACACCCTCTGATCAGGGTCGATCTCCGCTGAAACAGTCCCGATCACAAGCAGCTATGTTTCTTTATTCACCGGAGAAGAAAGGTAGTCAAGCATCTTCCGCTTTGCCTCCTGTTTCGATTCGCAAACAGCTCCCTCGTCATTTCCTGCTTCATCCATCTAGGGTTCGAATTACCCTCTTTTTGCGGTTTGATTTTACCAGATATTGAAGCTTTCCCCGATAATTTTGATTTAGGTGTGATTAGGGCTCGAATATCCTCAATTGGAGCAACAGTGATAGCATACCTGCAACTCGAAATTCAGATGACATGAGTAACGTACCTTTCCTCCTAAACCTAATATTGTCGGCGGCTTCAACCTCTCATTGTCATTCTTACGTAGTAGCAGCAGAAGCATAACAGAGGTGGTCGATGGTGGTGACCAAGAGCATCTCTACGGTGGCAGGAGGCTGCCCGACAGTCTATCGACTGCTTCCTTTTTGCTTATGTCGGCAGTGATTGTCGGAGGGGAAGAGGGAAGAGGTAAGGCAGCAGGTTGGAGGGTTGCTTGGGGGTTGTCGTGTCACTGGTAGAAGGAGGGATAATGGGTTGTGAAATGGTGGTACACGATGGCAGAAGGTGGCAGTGGGGTGACGAGTGGTGGCCGCTATGTTTTTCCTTTGTGTATCTTTGAAGAAAATGGACGAGAAAAAGGATGGAAGGGAATGAAGAAGGTCTGAGGTATGTTGGTGGAGTGGTTTTCGATCCAGTGAGGGAGGTATAAGGGTAGTGTGTGGTGTTGGAAGAGAGAGAGAGAGAGAGAGAGAGAGAGAGAGAGAGAGAGATTTCATTTTTATTTTTTTATTTTGTTATAAAAAATTATAAAAATAAAATAGAAAATGAAAATTTTCTTTTTTTTATTTTTTCTTTTAATCAAAATAAATATTTAAATAATAAAAATATTGAAAAAGAAAAATATAAGGGCAAAATAGTTATTATGAAAAGGTTTATAGAAAACTGGACCAAACTCGCAACAAAATGAAAATTTTAGACCTGTAATGCTAGTCAAAACTTTTTTGGACCAAAGTGGCAATTTTGAGCGAAACACAGGACCACTTGTGCAGTTTTGTCTTAATCTAACTCCGTTATCCTTCCCGAAATTCACATACCTACGAACAAACCAAACCCCTCTCTTTCTCTCTCTCTCTCTCTCTATCCGCGTTAATGGCGTCTACGACCACCGTCCTCCTCCTGTTGTCGATCATCGTCGGTCTCGTTGCTTTCTCCGCCACCGCCAGGCCTTGCAAGACGATCTTCTTCATCACATCCACTTCCTCCTCCTACTACCCAGCCGACTCTAATCACCCTGGAAACCCTAATTTCCCCCACCAAAACCCCACTAACTCCCCTCGTTTGACCTTCTTCATCACCGAAATCCACGAATTCCACCGCAGTAGGTCCTTCCCCCGTCCGATCTTCCCCGACCGAGCAGTGGAAGATGTCGTCTCTTCAAAACCCTCTTCTTCTTCCTCGTTTCGCGATCGCACCCTGGATATCATCAGTATTGTCGGTGCGCTACTCGTCGGTGTAGGCTGCGGGGCTCTCACCGCCGCAACCATGTACTTAATCTGGTCCGTATGTTCTAGCAGACGCTTGGATTTCGGCTCCGATTCCGATGAGGAAGAGTACGACGTCGACGATGAGGATGACGTCACCCATAACAAGAACGGTTACGCCCCTATCCCTGCCGCCACCAAGCCCGTGCCTCCTTCTGCCGATGAAGTCGATGCAATGAAATAGATGAAGCTCTGGTTTGGTAAGTATGTCTTTTGGATTTTTAAGCCAAGTGTATGTCTCATGTATGTGGATTCTTCCTTTCTGTTACTATATGTATCTGTTAAAATGCGAAAAATTTTAAGTGCTACTATGGTTCGATTTGCTTATTCTTGCGCGATATGTGTGAATTTAAGATTGATATACTTTATCAAAAATTATGTTATATAATAATAATGTCTACTAGGGGTTATGCTATCTATGGTGTACTATGATAGGATTGTACACACTACACAGCTAAATCCCCAATTTTTCTATGGTATGATTAGTTAGAGCTCTTTGTTAGAGTTGTTCTAAATTGATATTGATCACTGGGATGTTTCTGAATACACTATATAGTTGATTTACTCTGGTTTTGTACAATCATTCAAGATTTTATTAAATGTTAATAAGTAGGTGATCAACCTTGTGTTCTTCAAGATAATCTTTTTCTTGCAGCTCTTTGGTTTACTGAATGGAGGTACTATGTTCTCTTCTCTCTCCTTCCTCCATTTTTGCCACTCATGGTGAACTATTCCAATGAGTATCTCCCTTTGTGTTTACATCTTTTGGTCTGTAGTTAGGTATCTTTGCATACTTTCTTTGCTCGTTGCACTTTGATTCTCATTTCTCAATTTTCTTTTTCTCATATAAAACATAGAAATTTCTGCTATCAACCATTTTATGTTGTTATATACTTATAACACATGCCACATGCATTTGTTAACACGTTTTCATGGTTCAATCATTCGATTAATTAATATGAAGATATTTCTTTGTTGTGGGTGTTTGTGTACAATTGCTCGGAAATTTAGAAGTATTTGGTACAATTTAAGGTACGCTAAAGTGAAAATAGGACATGTGTACATGTCATTTTAAAAAGTAAAAACAAATAATGAAGTAACACAACGCGTAGAATGATAGAATGAAACTGTGAATGGATATGATATGATAGGATAAGGATGCGTTTATAAAGTTTGGAAGTAATTATCGTATATATTCTGTCGTTTTACTTTAGCAAAACATATTCCTAACTTTTTAATTTTGTGCAAATATTCACTAAATCATGAAATTGAAGGCACTTTCATGCAAAAATTTGTGTACAGACTACAGAGAATCCGACTCACATATAAGAGTGCCTTAACAGAGATAAATGAGAAATAGATAGCACTTCTTGTCGCAACTCCTTTTCCAACTGGAATCCTAAAAGTTCAGTTTCACATTAACCATTATGGAAGCAATCAGCTACTATCAACAAACTATAGTCCAACTGCGCCATTTAGACCAAAACCAATATAACATAACATCAATTTTTTATATTTTTTTAATGTTTTTGATTTCTATTTTTCTAAATTGTTTTGTTTCTTTAATTTATGTCATAATATTTAAAAAAAAACATATAAATTAATAAAGCATAATTAAATTAAATACTTAATTAAACATACCATTTAAAAAAAAAAAACGACATTATAAAGGAAGAAAAAAAAAACATTGACCGAAAACATATAATAGTTCTAATAATTTTAAAAACATAAAAACGATATCGTGTTCTCCGCCTAAATATCCTAGTTCGATCTTTGCCTTCATTTTTAGGAGCATTTCCATCCGTCTTGGAGACATTGTCCTCGTTAGTTTGAAGAATAGTCTAATCTTTCCTCATGCGATCTTCCTCGGTTTCTCGATAAAGGAACTCCAAATGTTGACGTTGCAACTCATATGTTTTAAGCTCGATTTCGCTATGGACGCCAAATTTCTGTTTCATTTCCACTTGCTCTCGAAGTCTACTTTCATTTTGCATGTTGTTGAGCCCATCTCGCTTTGTTGCGTCCTATCGGTCATCGAGGTGGTGAGATCTCTTCAATGTCGTTGAGGTTGTTCGGTAGCCATCCAAGTTGCGAGACCTCTTGTCAGTGGCGTAGCCAGGTTCAAAATAAAGGGGTATCCCAAATCGGGTTCGGTTTCTCGGTTTTCCAAACTCGGTTTCGAGTTTAAACCCAAACCCATTCAAAAATTTAACTTGTTGAGAGTTAAGAAGCTTGTGTTGCTTATATAACAAATGTATATGAGCTATGTTTCATGTTATGACTGATGTTGGGCAATTTTAAAATTTAAAAAATAAGTTGAAAATTTGATAAACAAAATAAAATACATCAATGTAACAACCAAGATTCAAAATAGAGACCTCAAACTTAAAAGTTCAACACTTTACCACTTGGACAACTCAATATTTGTGCTTAATTTTCACATCATTATATAATAAGGATAATCTGTATAAAGCTATAAAAAAGGAGTTGTGAAATAAAAGAAATTAAATGTTTGCAAGAAGATTTGAACTTGCAACCTCTAAAAACATCCCTTAAAGCCTTAAGCATCTGAACCAATTTCATCTTGTGTTATTATCTCAATAAATATATTAATATTATGTATATGTACGCTACATAAAACGAAATTTTTCTAAAAAAATTATACTACCGCAATTTTTTTAAGGGGTATCCCAGGATACCCCGGGATCTATTGTGGATCCGCCCATGCCTCTTGTATTGTTACGAAAATGTGTCTATTTTATTTCATTTTGGGTTTTCCTTAACAATATCCCAAATCATTTTGTGCTCGAAAACATGACTTGTCTCGACATGATATTGGTCTCTCGCTGCTCTATAAACATCAAAATCGTTTGCACCACATTGCTTGTGCGAGAAAAGTTTGTTGTAGATAGAATTGAACTTGGTACACTTTCTGCTTATTTAAGTCCACCTACACAACATATTGTGATTGCAATAATTTTCATCTCTTTTCAAAATAGTAAGAGATTTTCCAATCACAACTGTAACATCCAAAATAAAAAGGTATGTCATGAACCCCTTTAAAATTTGAATTGTTGCATTTTTGGTCCCTTAGTATGCTGAGCGTACCTAGGAGTATGCTTAGCGTACTAGGGCCTTATATGGACGCGGGTGTTGGGAGGTACGCTGGGCGTACCAGGGTGTACGCGGGGCGTACGCGTCACGGGCCAGAAAACCGTAATGACGACTTGAGGCCTATATAAATGACTTTAAGCCCTTGGGGCTAAACCCTGGAGAGCCTCCACTACCCTTAAACGTCATTCTACTGCTGGGAGCTTTGAGGAATCATTTTGTGAGCTCTTAAGGTGTGTTTTTGTGCTCTCTAGTGTTCATTTCAAAGAGAAGGGTTGGTCTAGCAAGCTTGGAATAGGAGGGAGCTTCAAGATCTTGCATCATAATCATATTTCAGAGCTTTTGGAGGTAAAAACCTTGCACCTTTCCTTGTTGCTCTTTAGTTTTAGCTAGGGTTTTTGTAGTTGGTCCTCTTGATGGATTTTGGGCCTCATTTGTTAGCTAGAACGTCCCCATTCGTAAATAAGGTTAGATCTGGGGTCTTAATGATGTCTTTGGGGGCTTAATGGACATGCAAAGGCATAAAGCTAGCAACTTTATGCCCTAAGAGGTATTAAAGGACTTAGATCTAGATTTTGGTCGTAAAAGAATGAAGTAATAAGCACTTAATGGAGAAAGTGCTTAACTGAGACTTACGCCGGGCGTACTCCAAGTACGCTGCGGGTAACCCCTGAAGACCCGGTACGCTGCGCGTACCTGGAGCGTACGCGGAACAGTTTGGGTCAATCGTATTTTGGGTTGTCAAACTTTTGGGCCTCTTATGGGTTTTGGGCCTGTTTGGATTCTTAGGGTAAAACCTTTTATTAATTGGGTCATGGACTTATTAAGTAGGCCCATAAGGACATTGGTCTTAGATTTTGGGCCTATTTGCAATGCAAGGGTGTTTGGGCCTTTGGCGTTAGGGTTTAAAGGTTGGGCTTTCCCTTGGGATAATTTATGGACCAATCATTGATATTATTATTATTATTGTTATTATCCAGTTGGGAGGTTGCGGGTCTTTGAGAGTGCGTTACTCGTATTCTTCGGGCAAAAGGCGAGGATTCTCACCATACCCATGGGTCTACGGCACCAAGGCCGACCCATTATGTGATTATGATTTATGTGATTACTCTGTGTCTTGATATGTATTATGATCTTATGATTGCATGAAGACCTCGGGGGGAGCCCGTGGCCTTGGGTGTAAGACCATGTGGGGTAGCCTATGGCAGTCCAAGTAAAGACCATGTGGGGTAGCCTATGACATTGTGTGTAAGACCATGTGGGGTAGCCCATGGCAGTCCAAGTAAAGACCATGTGGGGTAGCCCATGGCCTTGGGTGTAAGACCATGTGGGGTAGCCCATGGCATTTTGCAGGTTCTTTGTATACATGGCTTATATGACTTGTACTTGTGTCTACGTATGTGTGGTATGCTATGGGGAACTCACTAAGCATTTCGTTTACAGGTTGTTGATTTGTTTCAGGTACATCAGAGCCGAAAGGCAAGGGCAAGGCTTGATCGCGTGGTGTGCACTCTATCTATCTATCTATATCTTTGTTCCTCGATATGTTGGGGACCTACTCTGATATTTTATATATAATGTAAAAGACGGTGTTTTAACTAAACGTGTGTTTTATGGATTTCATGACGTTATATATATCTAAATTAAATGAAAAAAAATTCGTTGAAAAATCGGGCTGTTACAACATCTTTCCAAAAAAACGACTTTTCTCATATCGTTTCTCTGAGTTGGATTTTTTTGCTATCTCGCACCACGACACCGCCAACACGTATTCTTCTTTCGCATCCCACGTTGGAGGTTTTTCTTCCGATTGCTCCACCGCGGCCGCTTTTCCTTTCCTTCTTGCTCTCCCTTTGTTTGCCATTTTTTCCGACTCCCCCCTGCGTATCGAGAACCGTTTTTTGCGTGGGTGGTGGTTGTGTCGTATTTTGTTGCATGACAGCGAGTGTGTTGAAAATGATTTGTGGAAGGGGTGTAGGGAATTATAATGGTGGTGAGACGAGATTGAAAAAATTATCGCAAATCCAAAGTTGCGGTGTGCTTTAGGAGTTGAGGATGTTTGCGTACACCTCA